AGAATACAGTGATCATACCCTAGCAAGTGCAAGCATGCAGGTAGATATATAGATCACAATACAAGCAAAGTCAAGCAGTAAGCAAGTGAGGCAAAGTGGGCACAAGGCCTAACAAACTAACAAAGCGCTGATGATCACCAGGCGGAAGTGCCTTGGTGAAGACATCAGCAGTGTTGGCCCGAGTGGCCACGTACGCAAGACGAAGCTGGCCACGCTGCTGCATTTCTCGAGCAAGGAAGTATCGCAGAGCGATGTGCTTCGTTCTGTGCTCCAGTCTGTGCTCCTGACACAAGGCAATCATGGCCTTGTTGTCTACGTACAGAACTGGAGGTGAACGAGGCTGCTCTCCCAAGTCGGTCAGCAGGTAGGTGAGCCAGCGTAGCTCCTGTGCAGCCATGGCCCCGGCGTAGATCTCAGCCTCACAACTGGAGCTGAGAACCGAAGACGAGTGGGTAGACCGCCAAGAAACAGAGCCGGAACCAAGGCTGAAGGTGTAACCCTGTGACGACCGCTGAGTAGCTGAGTCGTCCACCCAGGAGGCGTCTGCGTGACCGGTGAGGACAACTGGACCCCGTCCTCCAAGCACGAGCCCCATGCCCGACGTACTGCACAAGTAACGCAGTAACCTCTTCGCAGCATCCCATTGCACCTTTCGGTGCCTGCCGGGAGCCACATAGCGAGCCAGGAGGCTGAGAGGGTACGCGAGGTCGGGTCGAGTGCACGTCATCAGGTACATGAGGCAACCCACAAGCTCTGGGTACGGACAACTCGGCTCTACGGACTCGTCCGAAGGTGGAGCTGAGAGCGAGTGGCTGGTAGACAGAGGAGTGGGTTGTGGGAAGGAGAACTGGAAACCGAAGCGCTGAAGGACCTCATGCACCATGTGTGACTGAGTCAGGGTAATGGTGCGCCGAGCTCTATCCCAGGTGATATGCAAGCCAAGATAACTGCGCAGTTCACCCAGGTCAGTGCAGGTGTGTCTCTTCCGCAGCTCCGACTTCACAAGAGTCAGTGCCTCAGTGTTAGCAGTGGCAAAGACGAGGTCGTCGACGTAGACAAGGACGTAGAACGGCGGCAGCAAGGTGTCGGTGCGTAGAAGCAGCGACGGGTCAGCAGTAGCAGGAGCAAACCCAAGAGCCGCAAGTGTAGTCCTCAGTGTGTCGTGCCACTCGCGAGGCGCCTGGCGGAGACCGTAGACTGGCCGCTGAAGACTCCACTGAGTACCTGCAGGAAAAGACACAGTGAAACCAGGTGGGCGGCGCAACCAGATCTCCTCGTGCAGGCTGCCCTGCAGGAAAGCTGTGCTGAAGTCCAGAGAGTGCAACTTGTAGTCACGCTGAGCAGCGACGTGCAGCAACACCCAAAGAGTAGTCATCTTCGGGGTGGGGGAGAAGGTCTGGAAGTAGTCAACTCCCTGTCGCTGACTGAAGCCTCTAGCAACATAACGCGCCTTGAAGGCAGGCGGAGAACCCGGCGGCCGCTTCACCCTAAAGATCCACATGCCATCGACTATCTTCGCCCCAGGTGGGGGAACCTCGTTGACGTAGGTGCCTGTGGACTTCCAGGATGCCATCTTGGCATCCATAGCTGCCTGCCACTGAGAGGAGTAAGGACCCGTAATCGCCTCTGCGTAAGAGCGCGGGGTCGGGATGTCTGGAGCATCCGGGTCTCCCTCAGGGGCAAGCAGCATGGAAGCAAAACGAGGTACAGCAGCTGCAAGAGACTGAAAATCCTCCTGCCTGTCCTCAAGGACGTCCGTGCCAAGAGCACACTCACCCCCGACGGATGGAGGACTAGCAGACACAGAATCAGCAACAAGAGAAGAGGCGTAGTCTAGACGACAGGCAACAGCAAAGTCAAGCAGCTCAGCAACGAGAGCAGACGCAGCAGCAGACTCAAAAGAAGGGTCAGTGACAGCAGTGGCGAGGAGACGAGAGACAGTGGGACTGGCAGCACGAGCACGGCCAGACTCAGGTTCAGGGACCTCTGGAAGAGAGGACTCGGGAGGAGCTGGCAAAGGAACACGCAGAGGAACAGAGGAAGGACGAAGGGTCATAGCGTGCATGCCAGGGACAGGAGGAGGACGCGAACGAGGAACGCGACGAGCAGTGCAAACAGGCGAGATAGGACGAGACGCAGGCTCACGACGCTCTCTAAGACCGCCGGACTGCTCAGTGTAAGGAGAAGGAGCAGGCAGTGGAGAGGCCGGCTGTAACAGCGGCAGCCACCGGTCAGGCGGGGGACACAGGAGGGGAGGAGTAAGGTCAGCAGTAGGCGGGGTACCAAGAACCTGCTGGAGCAGGGGAACGAAGTACGGTCGCGGCCGCACAGTGCCACCAGGGTCAACAGCTCCAGTTCCTCCAGCTCCAGCACCTCCAACACCAGGGCCTCCAGCTCCAGCGCCTCTTGCGCCAGGGCCACAAACACCAGCTCCTCCAGCTCCAGCGCCACCAGCGCCAGTAGTACCAGACTCTGGAAGGTCTCCAGCTCCAGCACCCTCAACACCACCAGTCCCTGCAGCTCCAGTACCCCGGGTACGAGCTCCTTCAGGACCAGCGGTCGCGGTACCTCCAATAACACCAGCTCTATCAGCAACTCCAGTACCTCCACCTCCAGCAGCGCCAGCACCTCCAGCTCCAGAATCTCCAATCCGAAGGCGCGTACTCCAAACAAACCACTCACGCAACTGCAGCGGAGACAGTCTTGGCGAAGCACCAGCAGAACCTCCAGACGAAGCAGCACCCTAGGGCTCCGCACCTCCAGACTCCGCACCCTACGACTCAGCACCCCCAGGCTCAACACCCTCAAGCTCAGCACCCCCAGGCTTACCACCCCCAGTCGCAACACCCCCAGGCTCAGCACCCCCAGTCGCAACACCCCCAGGCTCAGCACCCCCAGTCTCAGCACCCTCAGACTCCGCACCCCCAGGCTCCGCACCCCCAGACGTAGTACCTCGAGCAGCACCTGAGACGACAGCTACCTGAACAGGCGCAGTACCAGGGAGAGGGTCAATCTGAGACACACCTGAGGGAACAGGACCCTGGGGTGGGAGGGAGGGGTCTACCGGAGGAGGACCGGGAGCAAGGAAGAGCGGCGGGGGTGGGGGAGGGGCAGAGCGGTAGGGGAAGAGGAGGTAAAAGGGAACCGACTCGTCAAATGTGACGTCCTGAGAAGGGAAGACACGGCGCGAGGTGAGGTGGTAAAACTGCCAGCCATGCGCGTCGGGGACAAAGCCAAGGAAGACGCAGGGGATAGCACGCGGGGAGAGTTTGTCCGCGGACGTATCACGAACAAAGGCACGAGATCCCCAGACCCGGAACACCGACGCATCGCCAACCTCCCCCGTCCAACGCAGTGTGGGCGAGGACTCCGGCAAGGAGACACGGGGCCAGAGGTTGAGCTGATGCGCAGCGTACCAGACCGCAAACGGCCACAGAAAATGGGGAGCGGCCGCATGGATCATGGAGGTACGAGCGACCTCCATGACTAAGCAATCTCATTTTGCTGAGGGGAGTCCGGAAGCGTGAACGACTAGAGAATGCCCTCCCCATGACAAAAGTCCCGCAAGAGGGTGGAGGAGAACTCACCACCTCTGTCAGAGTGCAGACGCAGGACAGGAAGGTCCTGGCAGAACCGCTCGCGGAGCTGGAGACGGACTGTGCGGATCCAAGGGATCAAGACATCAACGACCTGGCCCTTGCTGCGCAAGGGGAAGACCGTGGTGTACCCCGTATAGTCGTCAACTACCAGCAGAAAGTAGCGCTCGCAGCTCTGTCCACTGACGCGGGCTGGGCCCCACACGTCCATGTGGAGAGTCTGCAGGGGAGTAGTCATCGGGGGAAACGAGGAGGAGTGAGGAGTGGCGCGCTGCCGCCCCTCAACGCAAGGGAGGCAGGGCAGGGCAGGCGAGGGCGGCAGGGGAGGCAGGGACCTGGGGAGGCCAGAGACAAGAAGACGAGAGTGCATGCCACGAAGGCGAGGCAAGGAGGGGTGACCCAGATGGTGGTGCCACAGAAGAGTCTGGTGCGACAGGAGGCGACACGAGCAAGAGGCGGCTACCTGACCTAACGCGGACACCTGAGCAGACGCAGCGACCTGAGAAGGATTGGTAGTGAGTGTGTACAGACTCGACCCTGGCCGACAAGTGAACGTGGCCAGGTGACGCCCCGTCCGTGTGCACGTGCAGATCGACACACGCTGACCCCCAGGAGTGGTGGTAGTGACCATCGCATCCTGGAGGGCAGCGGTTCTCACCAAGTTCGAAGAGAACGAGGGAAGGTGAAGACCTGACAGTGAGCCCGACAGAACCGCCGGACACGGGAGGACAGTGGAGGAACGGGCCACGACCGGTCCCCCGGAGGGGTCAGCCAGTCGGACCGGGACAGGTGCAGGAAGAGGAGTGAGGGTGATGCTGTCACGAAAGAAACAGCGCGAGGCACCGGAGTCCAACGTGAAAGTGTGCAAGGCCTCAGCAGGCGCAGTACCAGGGAGAGTACCAGACTCACTAGCACCTAGAGTAGCAGCAGCTATACCAAGGTCAGGCGGCACACACCGGTAACAGTCACCCTCAGCACTAACCGACAAAGCATACATAGCAGAAAGAATAGCATCAAAGTCTAGGTCAAAAATAGCAATCCTAGACTTAAGCAGATCTGCCCAGTGAGGGAGCTCGACGTTGTCACCAAACTCAGCATGCCAAGCGTTGTCGAGGCGGGAGAAGCAGCGGTGCTGAGTGTGGAGCCGCCCGCAAGTCTGACCAGCACGGTCACCCGTGCGAATGACATACGGGCAACTACCCCTAGACGCCCCATGCAGAAACCACTCACGAAGCTGCTGGGGAGACGGGGTCTCGCTCCGACGCTGCTGCTGCTGACGCTGGCCACCCCCAGAACCGACACGCCGAGCGCCAGTCCCACCGCTACCTGTCCCACCGCCTCCACTGCCGCCACTCCCACCGTTGCCTCCACTGTTAGAATATTAGCTTGACCTAGGAACCATGGCTAGGGAGGATAGGTGCTAGCATGGATGTCGAGAGAGTTGAGTATCGAGAGAAAAGTCGAGAAGGAGAAAATGAGGAAAGGAGTGATTTCACTAGGAAGAGTTGGGATACAAATAGCAAACCCTAAATTAGGTTGTACTCACTACAGAGTACCCCACTGCAGGCTAAACAGCAAATACATTCTGACACACCCCCATAGTCAAAGTGGGGTATAATCAGCAGAGCAAGCAGTTATAGAGCACGTTCACAAGTACAAGCAAAGCTAGAGGCATTCACAAAGGGCAAGTGAGGAGGAGGAGGCTGGACTGTGAGAGGAGAGGAGATAGGAGGCGACGGCTGATGCTGCACACACATGGGCAACAGGAGCGGCGCGCACTGTGGCTACCGGAGCCGTTTCCCCGGACTACAGGAGTAACTGGCTCTGTGTCTAACTCTGAGCGGCAGGAGCAACGGACCCACAGGCGACAGGCGCAGCAGGCTCTCTGAGCTACCAGAAGCAGAGCCCCAGACTACAGGTGCTGCGGACGACAAGACGGCAGCCTCTGCTCAACCTCCCCCAACTGTCCCAACCCCCTTTCACACACCCATTGCTGCACCCCTAGCTCCACTCCCACGTCACCCCCCTAGCACCACTCCCTCGGCTCCCACACACCCACCCCCCTCAGCGGCAGCTGCAGCAGTGGGAGTTGGAGGAGGAGGAGGAGCAGGGGACGGTTCACACACCCGCCACCCCCATACCCTCCCCCACTGCTGCACCTGCAGCAGGGGATGGAGGAGAAGGGGGGGGGGGCGGGGGGGGGCTGGTGCTGCAGATCCCCTCCCCCCCACTGCTGCACCTGCAGCAGGGGGAGGAAGGAGAAGGGAGGGGGGGGGGGGGGGGGTGCTGCAGATCCCCTCCCCCCCACTGCTGCACCCGCAGCAGGGGGAGGAAGGAGAAGGGAGGGGGGGGGGGGGGGGGGGGGGGGGGGGGGCTGGTGCTGCAGATCCCCTCCCCCCCACTGCCGCACCCGCAGCAGGGGGATGGAGAAGAAAGGGGGGGGGGCAGGGGGGGGGCCGTGCAGGAGCCGCTCGGGCGACAGCAGGACGCGCCACACCCGCCACCCCCATACCCTCCCCCCCACTGCTGCACCCGCAGCAGAGAGATGGAGGAGAAGGGGGGGCGGAGGGGGCTGGTACTGCAGATCCCCTCCCCCCCACTGCCGCACCCGCAACAGGGGGATGGAGGAGAAAGGGGGGGGCAGGGGGGGGGGCGGTGCAGGAGCCGCTCGGGCGACAGCAGGACGCGCGACGGGCATGAACCCGATGTGCGCCATACCCGCCACCCCCATACCCTCCCCCCAACTGCTGCACCCGCAGCAGAAAGATGGAGAAGGGGGGGGGGGGCGGAGGGGGGCTGGTACTGCAGATCCCCTCCTGCCTCCCACATCCGCCACCCCCTCACACCCTCTCCCCCCCGTCCCCACGGAGGGGGGGGAAGGGGGGGAGGGGGGCGGGGGAGGAGCTGCGCGTGTGACTGCAGGGCACGCGGGCAGGAGGAACCCCCTCTTGCCACCCCCTTACCCTTCATGACTCGGCAGGGAACCGGGGCCGCGGATAGGGGCAACGGGTCGCGAGGGGCCGAGGCGAGAGGCGACGGGGCCACGGTGAGGGGCTGCAGGTCGCGAGGGGCCATAGCTAGGGGCGACGAGGCCAGTGGGGCCGATGGGCGCGGCTAGGTACGGGGCCGGGCGCTGGGCTAGGGACGGGGCCGGGAGCTGGGCAGGTACAGGGCCGGGCGTGGGCTAGGAATGGGCCGATCGCGGGCTAGGTACGGGCCGGGCGCGGGCTAGGTACGGGGCCGGGCGCGGGCTAGGTACGGGGCCGGGTGCTGGGCTAGGGACGAGGCCGGGCGCTGGGCAGGTACGGGGCCGGGCGCTGGGTTAGGTACTGGGCCGGGCACGGGCTAGGTACGGGGTCGGGCGTTGGGCGCGGAACGGAGGCCGGGCGCGAGGCTAGGTACGGGCCGATCGCGGGCTAGGTACGGGCCGATCGCCAGGCAAGGTACAGGGCCAGGCGTGGGCTTGGTACGGGCCAGGCACTGGCTAGGTACGGGCCGGGCGCGAGCTGGTTACGGGGCCGGGCGCGGGCAAGAGACGGAGCCGGGCGCTGGGCGAAGGACGGAGCCAGGCGCGGGCTTGGTACGGGCCGGGCGCGGGCTAGGGACGGGCCGGGCGCGGGCTAGGTACAAGGCCAGGCGCGGGCGAGGTACGGGCCGGGCGCGGGCTAGGTACGGGGCCGGGCGTTGGGCGCAGAACAGAGGCCGGGCGCGAGGCTAGGTACGAGCCGATCGCGGGCTAGGTACGGGGCCAGGCACGGGCGAGGTACGGGCCGGGCGCGGGGCTAGGAACGGGGCCGAGCACGGGCTAGGTACGGGCCGATCGCGGGCTAAGTACGGGCCGGGCGCGGGCTAGGTACGGGGCCGGGTGCGGGCTAGGTACAGGCCGGGCGCTGGGCGAGGTACTAGGCCGGGTACGGGGCGACGGAGTCGACGCGGCCAGCGGGGCCGAGAGGCACAGCTAGGGGCGACGGGGCCAAGGGGCCGAGCCTAGGGGCTAGGGGCGACGCCAAGGGGCGACGGGCTGGGGCCTAGGCTAGCACGGCATTAGGTGGTGGGCCCATTGATGTGAGGTCCTAGGAACGACCTACTCTGATAGCATGTTAGAATAGTAGCTTGACTTAGGAACCATGGCTAGGGAGGATAGGTGCTAGCATGGATGTCGAGAGAGTTGAGTATCGAGAGAAAAGTCGAGAAGGAGAAAATGAGGAAAGGAGTGATTTCACTAGGAAGAGTTGGTATACAAATAACAAACCCTAAATTGGGTTGTACTCACTACAGAGTACCCCACTGCAGGCTAAACAACAAATACATTCTGACATCCACCACCGCCACCAGAGCCCCCACTCCCTCCAACAGTCCCACCGCCGCCACCACCTCCACTGCTGCCCCCACCACCACTCCCGCTGCCACCTCCACCTCCGCTGCTGCCACCTCCACCACCCTGGCCACCCTTGCCCTTGGAGCTGTGGCCCTTCGCACTAGCAGAAGCAGCCCCGACGTCCTCAGCAACAGAGACGTCTGCAGCAGCAGCAGAGGCATAGGAGGGGGCAAGGGGGGAGGGGGAACACCCCTCAAAGAAGGGCGGACGCGGAGTGCCACGAGCAGCACCCACAGCAACTGCACTAGTCTCAGCTGCGAGGAGATGCTGCTTGAGGAGGTCAACAGTGAGGGAGGTGGGGTCAAGAGAGAGGAAGTGGTCCCTGACAGAGCGAAGAGATTCCGGGAGGCGAGTGACTATAAAGTAGAGAGTGATGTACATCGGGGGCGGGTTCCTGTCAAGGAACTCAGCAGGAACGGCAGCGCGGTAGCGAGCGTCACTAGCGCGAAGGTGGGAAACAAGGTCCTCGACTGTGGTAAAGGCGGACAGCTCGGGGAACAGGTAGGGCAGAAGAAGGCGGCCTAGAGCAGCAGTGGCAGGGGAGGAGTAGCGAGCGACTACAGCGTCGTACAGTGCCTGCGCTGTCCTGTGCTGTCCGAAGTGAGCGCATTCAGCTAATGGCAGGTGGTTGCGAATGGCTAAGCGGGCAGCAGCGTCACAAGTAAGCCACTGTGAGCAAGTCAAACTGTCAGCTGTGGCGGGAGGGGCAGTAGCAACGCCTGACGCTAGGGCAAACAGCGAGACAACGTCCTTAGAATCGCTCAGTAGGTACAGCTGCAGGTCGTCTAGCCACGTGTCAAACTGCACTGGTCTGCCCTCATGGTCAAGCGCGAGAACCCGAAGCGAAGCCATAGCTGTGCAGTAGCAGAAGTAGAAGCAGCAGTAGCAGAAGTAGAAGCAGCATTAGCAGAAGTAGAAGCAGCAGTAGCAGCTATAGCAGTAGCATCAGTGATAGTGGGGGGGGGGGGGGGGGGGGGGGGGGTGCCGAGCGCGGGCTAGGGACGGGGCCGGGCGCGGGCTAGGTACGGGGCCGGGCGCAGGCTAGCTACGGGGCCGGGCGCTGGGCCAGGGACGGGGCCGGGCGCTGGGCAGGTACGGGGCCGGGCGCTGGGCGCAGAACGGGGCCGGGCGCGGGGCTAGGTACAGGGCGGGGCGCGGGCTAGGTACGGGGCCAGGCGCGGGCTAGTGACTGGGCCAGGCGCAGGCTAGGTACGAGGCCAGGCGCGGGCAAGGGACGGGGCCGGGCGCTGGGCTAGGGACGAGGCCGGGCGCATGCTAGGTACGGGGCTGGGCGTGGGTTAGGGATGGGGCTGGGCGCTAGGCGAGGGACGGGGCCAGGCGCGGGCTAGGTACGGGCCGAGCGCGGGCTAGGTACGGGCCGGGCGCGGGCTAGGTACGGGGCCGGGCGCGGGCGAGGGACGGGGCCGGGCGCGGGCTAGGTACGGGCCGGTCGCGGGCTAGGTACGGGCCGGGCGCGGGCTAGGTACGGGCCGGGCGCGGGCTAGGTACGGGGCCGGGCGCAGGCGAGGGACGGGGCCGGGCGCTGGGCTAGGGACCGGGCCTGGCGCGGGCTAGGTACAGGGCCGGACGCGGGCTAGGTACGGGCCGGGCGCGGGCTAGGTAGTGGCCGGTCGCGGGCTAGGTACGGCCGGTCGCGGTCTAGGTACGGGCCGGGCGCGGGCTAGGTACGGGCCGAGCGCGGGCTAGGGACGGGGCCGAGGGCGGGCTAGGTACGGGGCCGGGCGCAGGGCTAAGCGCCAACGGGGCCGGGCGTGGGCTAGGAACGGGGCCGGGCGCGGGGCTAGGGGCCGACGGGCCGCGGGCCAGGGGTCGACGGGCCGGGTAGGCTAGGAGCGACGGGCCTAGGAGGGGGCACTAGCAGCGTAGCAGGTGGTGGGCCCAAGGAACCTGCTCTGATTCCATGTGAAAGTAACGAACGAGAATGAATGAACTAGCAAACAGTTGGGTACAAGTACTAACCCTAATTGGGTTGTACCCCTTATGGGCTACCCCACTACAGCCTACACAAATGTATAAGCTATAATGTTCTGACACAGGGCGCATCGGTCGGGAGTGGCGAAGACCAGGTCGTCAACGTAGACCAACACAAAAAACGGGGTCGAGCCATGGCGGACGAACAGGGACGGGTCAACAGGCGACGGAAAGAAGTCAAGAGCTGCAAGAGTCGTAAAGCGCGTCGTGCCACCTGCGGGGAGGCTGGCGCAGGCCGTAGACCAGTCAACGCGACTTTCACTAGGTCCCAGGAGGAAAAGAGCCACTGAAGCCAGGCGGGCGACGCAGCCAGATCTGCTCATGCAGGCTCCCCTGTAGGAACGCGGTGGAGAATTCTAAGGAGTGCAACTCGTAGCTACGCTGAGCTGCAATATGCAGCAACACTCAAAGAGTGGTCATCTTCGGGGTGGGAGCAAAGGTCTGGAAGAATTCTACCCCCTCTCGCTGCCTGAAGCCTCTCGCCACGTAGCGCGAACACCGGTGGTGCTCCAGGCAACCACTTCACCTTGTGGAGCCACATGCCATTCACAACGTTCGCCCCTGGTGGTAGGACGGTGTCGACGTAGGTGCCTGTTGACCTATAAGATGCCATCGCTGCCTCCTCAGCTGCTATCCAGTACAAAGCCCAGGGTCCCGAGACCGCCTCAGCGTGAGTGCGAGGGATCGGGATGTCAAGGGCGTCGGGGTCCCCCTCAGGGGCAAGCAGCATGGCGCAGAGATGAGGAACAGCAGCCGCAAGGAAACCAAGCTCGAGCTGCCTGTCCTCTAGGACCTCCAGGGGAAAATCAGGAGCACCCTCAAAGAGCGGAGAACGAGCAGGGCCACTCACCAAGTGAGCGGCGTAGTCAAGGCTGTGGGAAGAGGCAAAGCCAGCGACAGTGGTAACAAGTGCCGAGACAGATAACAGAGGTGCAGTCGGGTGAGTGACCAACGCGGACAAAACAAGGGAGACGACAGGACGAGAGGCACGGAGGTAGTCGGACAACGGGTTGTGAAACACAGTGAGGGACGACTCTAGAGTCAGTGGGAGGACAGGAAGAGGTGGAGCACGTGAGCGGAGAACAAGGTGAAACCGGCCGTCTGCCTGGTAACGGGACCGACGGGGCTCTAGAGACACAGCACGACTGAGGGGAGAACGACGAGTCCACCGGGACGAGGAAAGAGACTGGACGGGGGGAACAGGAGGGGATGGTAGGGGACCACGAACCAAGCGTGGATGTGCTTGGTCAGGCAGGCCGCGCAGTCGCAGTCGCTGTCGCTCCGCCTCCTCTGCCGTCTGCTGGGACGGTACTTGCCCTTGCTGCTGCTTCTGTGGCTCCTCCTCTGCCCTCTCCTCCTGCGGCTGCACTTACACCCGCTACTGCGACCGGGACTCCTACGCTACCCTCTCCTAATGCGGCCGTGACTCCTCTACTCTCTCGTGCTGTGTGTGTAACAGCACCTGCTGCTGCGGGCAAGACTCATGCTCTACCCTCTCTTGGTGCGGCCGTGACTCCTCCTCTACTCTCTCCTGCTGCGACTGCAACTGCACCCGATGCTGCACTCGTGACTCGTCCCCTACTCTCTCCTGCTGCGGCTGCTGCTGTGACTCCTCCTTTACTCTCTCCTGCTGCTGCGACTAAGACTGCTCCTGCTGATGCTGCTCCTGCTGCTGCTGCTGCTGCTGCTGCTGTGCCCTCTCAAA